CTTTAAATATATTAAAATGACAGAAAAGCTGTTCAAATTCTTAACTGTGAACTTTGACTAAGAACATGGACACAGTGTATAGTGAAATGAATATACTGTACTATACTGTGTACTGTACTTGTGTGTGGAGGGTGGTAAGAGTCATTGTGTATTTATCGTTATCGAGGTGAACTGGTCAATTCAGTATATTGTGATTTTGATTTTAGGCCAAATCGTCCAGCCCTACTCCGTTTTAAACCTGGTCGGGACCAGGTTAGTTTCAGAGGACTTGTTAACATGGAAGCATCCAGGATTACACCAAAATCCCAGCTTAATCTTCTATCCTGCATCAGAACACGTACGAGCAAGATAACAGTGAGGTGTGCTGTAGCAGAAACAGAGAGTTTTAACGTGGAGGTGGAACTACATCAAAGTTCAGATCTGAGACCCTTCTTGTTTGTTCTGGTGATGGAATCCTCATGGACTATGAAATTTGCAGATGACATTGTAATCTGTGGGATCTGTAGCTGTATCAAGACAAAGTGCTTGTGTGTTAATGACAGAGAGGCTAATTAAACAACGAGGCTACAAGTACTGGACATCACAAACTATCAACTGTTCGGGGGAATGGGAAGTGGTAAAAACGTGAAGAAGAAGAAGTGAGTACAGGCAGTACTGGCAGTGTTTATACTGTACACATACATACATTAAGTCAAAAAATGTTGCTGAGACCTTAGAGCCTCAAATAGACCTTATATTTACTCYTCATTATGCTACAACTCTGTAGTACACAAGTCCACGGGGTGCTGGAGACGATGTGAGCCAAGGTCGACATGTGTGAAGTGGCTTGGACCCTGGTCACATTCACTGACACAGACTCACACTAAAAGTCAGACAGATAAAAGTCAGTCCAGCTCATCTTCTGACTCTGATCTCTCAGGTGTGGATGGGTTGTCTCTCTCCTCCCCGGTTCTTCCAACGGAAACAAACTTTCACTCGCTCTACAAGCAGTTCTCCAGTTTTGTTTTTGGAGCCGTCAACAGTGATCAGGTGACCTCTGCAGAGGTCCAGAACTCACCAGGATACCAGGTTAGTCTCATTGTGTTCACGACTCCTCTCATTACTCTTATASTCTCATAAAAAGGAAAGGGTTCAAAATACATTTCTTTGTTAAAAGGATTTATTTTATTTTATTTTAGTATGGAGCAAGATAAAAATATGATTTTTTTCCCCCTCAGTCTTGTCATGAGTCAGACTTTATTATTGTTAGTCCAGGTAAGTTTCACCTTTTTAACAGACCTGCCCATGACAAGCTACTGTAATAAAAGTGAAAAATGAGTAGTGAAATAAAAGAGTGATACTGTACTAGAAATAAAAAACGTTATTTTTGCTACTGCAGCTGAGAACTTTGTCACATTAGCTTTAATGTTAGCTGTGTTCATAAGATCAGAAACAGTTCCATTTTGTTAAACAACTTTTTAAAAACTGTTTTAGAGCAGCTGCCACTTCTGTGTGGTTAAGCCCCAAGGGGTTCTCTTGAAGTTTTTCCTCAAAATACCATGCTGAAATGTAATTGAGTGTATCTCAACCTGTCTTTTTAGGCAGGTAAGAAAAAAATAAACAACTTTTGGACATAAAAACTTCAGATTTCTTAACGTTTATTAATGGTACCATCATGGTCTGTCCTGTGCAGAATGACAAAATTCTCAAGTGTCAGTCTTAGAGCTGRTTTACRACACTTTGCTCYGCCGYAAAGCTGATTCTAGATTGTTACAAAAMCCCCGGCATTGACCAATCACTGCATCTGATTTCGTGTTCAAGARGATTATTTTAGTTCCTCTGTTCATTATAACTGAGAACATGTCTCAGGTGGGAGGAGGACAGCTGTGATCTCTGTCTTCTGTCCGTCTCAGACCCCTAGTGGCAACTCTTAACCGCTTGAGTCCTCTGCAGTCATAAATRTTGAGAGATTAAGAGTGATTCTTAGAYTTACYAGTAAGAGTTTTGTTTTGAGAACTTGCTTTTACTCTTAAGTCTGAGAGTAAGAGGAAATCTAAGAAATTTTCAACTTAACACTAAATTTCTAAGAAGTTTGGACCCTGATTTTTTTGTCCAAAGACTCAACTTTCATCCAGAAATGAGTGGTCTCTAATAATCCCATTTGAGCTGCAGTGAAACACGTCCTGACCCAAAGCCACTCACAGGACCCTCAGTAAACATGTTTCTACTGCAGATACCAGATGAGATGAAGAACAAATGAACCTGTTTTGGGCTCAACAGGTTTTCACAGTTTTCTGTGCTGATYTTTGTGTTTTCAGTACGGAGATGTTCTGCAGACCGCAGAACCAAACGGACTCAGAGGACAGTTCTGTCTCCCAGCTCCTGGTGTTACTGCTGACTGTGTGAAYAACAGTCCTGCAGGTACAACCTTTACACCTCTAACACAGTCTGTTCTACACAATCCAGATGAGTGGAGGGGAAACAGAAACACACACCCCTGCAGTTTAGTTTGTTTCATTTTAACATCTGTGTGTGTGTGTGTGTGTGTGTGTGTGTGTGTGTGTGTGTGTGTGTGTGTGTGTGTGTG